TCAGTGTCAACATGGAGAAAGGGAGCAGGACGAAGTGCCACAGCAACTGCACACAACTGCACACAACAGAAGTGTGGCCTCTGAACAGACAGAGTGGCACAGCCAGGACCCAGGGAAGAGCAAGTGTTGCTAGTGGTTGGTGGTTTTCAAAGTGTTCTGTGATGGGTGGCAATGAAGAGAGCACAGCCTTGTGTCTGAGGTTAATGCCACTTAAAGATGGTCAGGGTGGTGCTGGGGAAATGACTAAGTGGTTAAGCATTTACTGCTTAATCTTGAGGACTGCAGTTCACATCCAGCCCCTTGTAACAAGCAAAGTCCCACAAACACACATGTGCACGCATGCACATGCCACAATAAACAAAAACCAAAATCTTTGCGAAAACATTGGAAGGAAATGGTTAGAGTGGGCTGGAGAGAGCTTGACAGAATAAAGCTTGCACTGCAATCCTAAAGACAGGAGTTGGGATCCTGGCACACATATCAAGCCGATGTCCTAGAAAAAGGGCATAGCACCAGCTCCAAGGGGCATGAACCATGGAGAATCTTTGGAGCTCACTGGCTTCCAGTCTAGCCAACAAAACTGGAGCTCTGACTTCAGGGAATGAGAGCCTTCCTTCCCTGAGGATTAAGAGAAGTTAAGAGTGTTAAGAGAAGAATTCCTAAAAAAAAAAAAAAAGAAGAATTCCTACTCCGTGACATCTCTGGTCTCTACATGTTTTTAGATGCACCCCCCCCCCAGACAGACAGACAGACAGACACACACACACACACACACACACACACACACACACACACACACACACACACATATATTGGGTAGAAGAGACATAGGGGAAATGTGTGCACATAGTCCAGATGGCCATGGAAACAGCCCTGACCTCTCAAAAGCACACACAGCAAGCTACTTTAAAGCATGCCAATGATGGTGTTTATTTCCTCCATTGTTTGGAGCTAATTGAAAATAATCTTACACTTATTTTAGTTTCTAAAACTTATAATGCCTTAAGTAGGTAATAAAAACAGCTACACAATATACATTTCCCTTCCGTCCCTCCTAGTCCTTGGCAATTCAAATATACTGTTGCTTCTTCTAATTCAACAAACCTGGTTGTGGCATCCATTAGCTATTATATAAACAAATTAGCATGTGTATATGTCCCAGTAACAGGAAAACATGTATTCCAAGGGTCAGCCTTCAAGAAGAGACATTAGCTGAAACACTTTATCACTGAGCTACAGTCAGACGGAAAAATTAAATATTTATTCCAGGCAACTCTACCTTGTGAGCTAGCTAAAACAAAGTTCAAGTTGATCCATGCACACCAGTAACAACCAATGGTGCAGTTGAAGACACTCCTACTTGGAATTGCTTATCAGCTGACAAACTGCAGAGAGACAGAGGAGGAAGGCCATCCCTCCTTTCCAGCACCATGCCCAACCCATAAGCAAGGTTGATTTGAGCTCAGCTGAGGTTAAGACTATTTTCTAAACAATAAGTCTCCCACCTTCATATCTAGCTGTGCAAATAGCTAAGATGTGGGTTCTCAACAGAAACCTTGAGTGGCTGGTAAATCTGTACTCTGTCACTCAGGCATCCACTCATGAGCAGTGTGTGACCCAAGCACTCCATGGGCTTATAGGTTCTCCTCATGATTGCTCAAAAACATCCTTACCTCCAGTTCCAGAGGATCTGAAGCCCTCTTTTGGCACTGTGGGCCCCAGGAAGACATCTGGTAAGCATACATACATGTAGGCAAATCAGCACATGCACATATATTTTTAAAAAGCATGCTTATTTTATATCACTGGTACTTACATTCCTTAAGTTTGTTTCATAATTTTGTACATAATCTTACATACTGTATTTTATTAATATTTATTTTCATTTAATTATATTCAAATATGGAATAATTATTATCTAATTGTATATGCTTATATTGCACATTTGTATTTCATTATATAATTTTATTTGAGTAAGATATATTTTCAATGTAAGAATTCAAATAATGCCGGGCAATGGTGGTGCATGCCTTTAATCCCAGCACTTGGGAGGCAGAGGCAGGTGGATTTCTGAGTTCGAGACCAGCCTGGTCTACAGAGTGAGTTCCAGGACAGCCAGGGCTACACAGAGAAACCCTGTCTCGAAAAACCAAAAAAAAAAAAAAAAAAAGAATTCAAATAAATTTATATGATTTCCATATGGGCAAAAGAAGATACAGAAGACTTATACATACATACATACATACATACATACATACATACATACATACATAGCCATTGTTGTCTTCTTGATGTTCCAGCCTTGTAGTATGTCTGGGCAAATATATATGTAACAAAGTTAAATTAGATTTCTTTTTATGTTGTTTTGTGACTTGCTTTTTTCAGGCTTAAACACTTTTTTTTAGAATGAGAAAAACAATCAACAACTTTCGAAGTATAAATAATTGATAACTACTCAAAGTGTTGTAAATCTAAAATATTAACAAATGTTATTAATCAACTGTCTGGTATTTTCTATAATGCCTGTTCTATTGGGGACAGCATACTCTTGTCATAGGTGATAATAACCGTGTATTTTCCATCAGAAAATACATTTACTCACATAAAGTTATACAACGAAATACAAATTTGCAAATATAACATCTCGATTTCCAGAGAAAGAATTTGGATGTTCTGTTATGTTGTATTATGAGATACAAGCATGTGCCCAACTACACCTGGCTTTTCTACAGGGTGCTAGGATTTGAACTCAAGACCTCATATGAGGGAGTCCCTCCAGGTATCAGACAGGGAAATAAACCACACAAAGAGATAAGAATAAGAACCCAGTACAGATTGACTTCGTCAACCTGGACCAGACTTCAGGGAGTCTAATGCCAGGTGATTAGTTATCAGAGTATTTAAAACAGCACAATTTGGGGAAAGATTTCCAGGCAACAATCAGTCCAGTCAGTCCAATTTTAGGCACACAATACAGCTTACGGTGTGACTGTATAGAAACTCCTATATAAAGTACATGTGAACGTGGGAGTGGGTACTGCAGCTAAAAGTCTAGTGTGGTCTCCAACCAATAGCATAAAGGTCAGCAGACCATCAAGTACATATGACACCCCCACTAAGGATGGGAAGGGAAGAGGCTGGAATAATCATTCTGGGGAATTAGGTGAGGTCTCTCTCTAAGTTAACAAGAAGGTTACCAGGTTGTTAGCAACCATGCTCAGCTTTCAGGATGACATTTCAGGATGGATGTTTGCTTTTCTCTCTCCCGCTGAAGGACATCCCTGCAGGATTAATATTCCTGGTTCTCCTAGCTTCTCTGTGAGTGCAAGACTCTCTGCTCTTGTGTAGCAAGTGCTCTTACTCTGCAGTTGTGTTTTATACCAAGAAGACTATATATTATACTTTTTAAAAAGTAAAGTATATTTCCAAGTTAAAGAGGAGCCTGGCACTTCTTAATTAGGCCAATGCATGGTAGTTCCAGTGTCTGTGACTTATACCCAGCAGTGACTCGGGTTCAATAAGATCTTGGCTGTGCATAGCTGAACCTTCTTTTCTTTCTTTTTATTGATTTCTTTTCTTCTTCATCTCCTTAGTGAGGCAGTAGAAATAGACTCTTTAGTGTGTTGAATTGTTACTGGTCTCTTCTCCGTTTTCTGGCTGTTTTTAAATGCAGTTGATGGCAGTTATATGAAGTTATATAAAGGCAGTTATATGAAGACCATGTGTAGTTTTAATTGAGCAAGCCAGTAAGAAGCAGATGTAAGGACAAATCAGAGTGGAGTCTGGTGGCATTTGTCCTGGATTGTACCTAGGACTGTCCACCTGGCCAGGTGGTGTTAGCCAGATTCCCAAGGAAGCATTGGACAGTGGTAGGAAGAGTTTGAAAGGATCATTGAGCATTCTGGAGTACCAAGATAAGTTTGTCACTTAATGACTTTTTGAAAGTACCCTGTGATGATACTTGGCCAGTACATGGTACACAGTAAAAGGTAGCATTTCCATGTTAGAGAGCCTTGTCCAGTGTGTGTGGCTGGGCGGAGGGAATGTAAAAACATTTTATAAAATAGAGATAGCCTTCTAAAGTCACCCCACATTTATGTGTGGGTGCTCAGAAAAGCCCATTGTGAGCCAAACATATCCTCAAATATAGAAATTACCCATAACTGTGGTGTTTGCGATTGACTCTTAGTTCATTGTAGCAATATGAATGAGAGCCAACAGCCAGCTGTTTGGGTTAGGGTACCTGCTGCAAAGCATGATGGCCTGTTGATCCCGGGACCCACATGCTGGCAGAATTGACTCCCACCTCTTCCTGTGCACTGTGGTACACACACATTTGCACACATGCCCCCACATGGTAGATAAATAAATAAACAAACGATCTACTAAGGTTTTTAAAAGATGAACTTATGTGCATGTCTGAATGGGCTTATTTGAGCTAACAATGCTTCATGACTCAGGCAGCCCCAACTGGTCAATATTCCATAAAAAAGGTTGGAGGGAAAATTACAGAATGTTGTCCTTGTTGGAGAGAGGCAAAACAAGACTTGATTAATTAAAGCAGAGAGTTGCTTACTAGTGGTTTCCTTGCAGTTTCTGATTGGGCTTTGTTTACTTACGTAATAGCCTAAGGTGCCAGAGCCACCTCTGCCCCTGTGGAACTTGCTGTTTCAGCATCAGCATGAGGATGGCTTCTGTGTCCCCATTGCCTTCCTCTGCATCCTAGTGCTGATCTGAGATGGAGTGCCACTGCCATCAGCCCATGCTCACCATTGAGTGGTGTAGTCATGAAGAATGTCTGTCTGGGTAGTCTCTAGTTCCTCGTACTGCTGGATACTCCATAATGGAAGATGTTTGTAAAGATTTAAGAAACTGAGCTGGTTTTAATTAAACTTCTTTTCGGTTGCTTCGTTTTTGGGAATACGTTATCTAAAGCAGCAGCAGCAGATACATTTGCCGTGTATAACACTGATATAACAGTTTCGGTTTCCTCCTAATAGGAACTGTCCAAGATAACAATGCCAGTCATATTTAATGAGCCTCTGAGCTTCCTGCAGCGGCTAACGGAATACATGGAGCACACTTACCTCATCCACAAAGCCAGTTCATTTTCTGATCCTGTGGAAAGAATGCAGGTATGTGGCAAGTGACCCTTGGGAGAGGTTTAAGTCTGAGACTTGTCCCTCTTCTCCTTTCCCACTTTACCCATAGACACACATGTTCACATATATGCAGTCACTGACATAGATTCTTATACACGTGTCTGCTGGTGTGAAGTCCAGCTGGGTATAGGATATCAACATTGCTCACAGCAAACGTTACAGTTCCACATCATAGTCCATCACTAAGGGAAGTCATGGGAAGAGTCTAGAAGCAGAAGCTGATACAGAGGCCATGGAAGGTGCTGCTTACTGGCTTGCCTGTCATTTCTTGCTCAGTCTGCTTTCTTTTAGAACCTAAAACCACAGCCCAGGGATTGTCTCACCCACAGTGGGCTGGGCCTTCCCCCATCAATCATCAGTCAAATGCACCATGGGTTTTCCTAGAAGCCAGTCTGGTAGGGACATTTTTTCAATTGAAGTTCTCTCTTCCCAAATGACTCTAGCTTGTGTCAAGTTGACATAAAACTTAGTCAACAAAATTGGCTTTTGCACCAATTAGGTTGTTTAGTTTTCTGTCTTTTTTCCCAATTCTATCTGAATATATAGACTTTTTCTTTGTCACCAGTCTATGAATGAAATAATTTTCACATTGTGTTAGATGCTATAGTAACTGGAAAATATGTAATTATACAAAAGGATATATGTAAGTTAAAAGCAAGTGCTATGCCATTTTACAAGGTTTGAGCATCCACAGAGTTTGACATTTGAGGTATGTATTAGAAACCAGCTTCACTGAGAGACAGATGTGATTTAAAGTTATAAAAAAGTCAACACATTGGAATTGACTTAAAGGGTTTTTGTAAGTCCTTGGCAGAATTATAGCACACACAGGATCTCATCAAAGCCATGTCTGAAGGTAGCACTATAGGAGGAGCACTATTCAGGAACTTTGATTATGAGTGTACACGCTTCTACAGTAACTCTAGAAAGCCACATTAAAAATCCATACTAATGGAGCCTTTCAATAATTGTTTTAGTCACTGCCTTCTGTGCTATTTCAATTCCTGAGAGGCATGAGTAAACTGGCTGTTAATAACCTGTGTAATGCTCTATTCCAGTGTGTGGCTGCATTTGCTGTGTCTGCTGTCGCTTCTCAGTGGGAACGCACTGGAAAGCCCTTCAATCCTCTTCTGGGAGAGACTTACGAATTAGTTCGGTGAGGTCTTTTGCTCCATTTTAGATGGCCTATTGAATGTGTGTGACTTATATAGAGTTTTCAGTGAAGAAAAATGGGTATATTGAGTGTCCCTAAATAATTATTTGTGTCTGGAATACACTAATTATTTTGATATCCATGTCTATGAAAGTCTATGAAACTTAAGAGACTATCAAAAAATACAACATAGACATGTAATATACCATCATTTAAAAAAATTACAAGTGTCTCAGTGTTTCCAACCTTCTAGGATTAACTCTCCTCATATTTAGGTAGATAACATGACATGATCAGGGTTTTAGGGTTACTACTGCTGTGATAAAACACCATGACTAAAAGCAACTCAGGGAGAAAACTGTTTATTTCACTCACAGTTCATTATCAGAAGCAGTGAGGACAGGTCCTCACATAAGACAGGAGCTCACACGGGACAGAAGTTCACATAGGACAGGGTCCTGAAGCTGATGCAAAGGCCATGGAGGGGTGCTGCTTACTGGCTTGCTCTGCAAGGCTTTTTCGACCTGCTCTTTTATAGAGCCTAGGACTGCAAGTCCAGAGATGGCACCACCTACAGTGGGCTAGGCCCTCCCCATCAATCACTGATTAAGAAAATGTCCTACAAGCTTACCTTCAGCCTAGTCTTATAAAGGCATTTTCTTGATTGATGTTCTCTCCTCTCAGATGACTCTAGCTTATGCCAAGTTGACATAAAACTAGACAGCACATTGGGACAGAAACTCAAAACAGGAACCTAGAGGCAAGAACTGAAACAGAAATGATGGAAGAGTATGGCTTTAGGTTTGCTTGCTTTTCCTGCCTTCTTATACTCTCCAGTACCACAACCCAGGCAGCACTGCCACAGTGAGCAGGCTGGGTTGGGCTCCCACATGAATTAGTAATCAAGAAGCTGTCGTCCAGACTTGTCTACAGACCAGTGTTATGGAGGTATCTGCAGTCAGGAAGCAGAGAGCCTACGAGGTGAATCTAGACTGTCCAACCTTCCAAGCAACCCCTAGTGATTCACTTCATCCATTGAGGCTCCACCTCCTAAAGCTCCCACAATCTTCTAAAACAGTGTCACCAGCTGGGGACCAAGGTTTCCAAAACATAAGCCTGGGGGACATTTCACATTCAAACCACAGCCATAACCTTTATGTAAATCGCCCAAATCCATGGGAATGTTCTTTAGTTTAATATGTACAAGCAGCTTGATTTCTAATGGCGGTGGACATAATAGCTTATGTTTTGTTGTCCTCATGTAAGGTTGCCCTGTGGTGAGGATAATAATAAAAATCTTTTCTTCACTGACTTTCCCTAAGTATTTTAACAAATTCAATGACAGTTAACTGCAATGATGCGTTTTTCTTTTTGCTTTTACTCTTAAGAGATGACCTTGGATTCAGGCTCGTCTCAGAACAGGTCAGCCATCACCCCCCCATCAGTGCATTCCATGCAGAAGGACTCAACAATGACTTCATCTTCCATGGCTCAATTTACCCCAAACTCAAGTTCTGGGGCAAGAGTGTAGAAGCAGAACCTAAAGGAACTATCACCTTGGAGCTTTTAGAGTAAGTACAGGAAAACCGTTCTCTCTCATGTGGCCCTGTTTGTGGGTTTGAACTTACAGACCCGACCGTGCCTGTCCAGCTGAGGATCATGAAAGAAACAACGTTATCGAGTATCCATTTCCTGTCCCGGGTGAAAGACTCCGGGAAGCATGGCAGTAGCCGCTGCTAAGCATGCTGGTTGGTGTAATACGTTTTAGTGGTGTTTAATGTGTGTGTGAATGAACTATAAGGTAGGTGCGATGAACTCAAAGGCAGTTCTTACAAAACCAGCTGTCTGGCCTTCATGATGCCCCCCCCCCTTTTTTTAAAGGATCTTTCGAAATTAACTCACCCTGAATTAGTGAGGTGACAATTATGTGACATGTTGGACATTAGGTTGGTTGGGAACTCTCTTCTGCAGGATTAACCTTAAAATCTAAAGCATTTCTAAATGAGCTCATGTGTCCTCCACCCACTCACACCTGCTCACTAGGACTGGAAACCCTAAACAGGAGCCACAGAACAACATTCTGGGATTCTGAACAGTAAGGACAGACGGTAAGGACAACAGATTAGGAAGGAAAGTCAGACCCTCAAGACTAGCTTTGCAGTGAGATTCCTAGTCTTATATTTTTCTCCTTGCTAAAAGTCTGAGCAGCAAATTGCAAAATGGCATTAGAAGCAGACAGAAGAGGTCCCAAGAGAGACCCTTCTTCTCTACTTAGAGATGCCTCAGAGACAGAGTATTACATTCTGGCTTGTTTTACCTCCTAACCTTTTCCCAAAGCAAGTGCTTGATCTTCTGGGGCTCGCCTGTACTAGGTGCCACGCTCTGAAACTGAGAGTGTGCTCAACAGCTAGGAACCAGGTAAAGGTGTGAGAACCAACTGTTAGCGTCCAGGAGGCAGGGTCAGCTATCGAAAGTATTGACAGAGAGTTCAAACCTACTGTAAGGGCAGAGGTGTGTCCTGAAGCACGGGGTCGGGGGGCATTCCTCTCCTAACCCAGTCCTTGCACTTGGCATTCACCCCAAGTGGTATATCAAAGGCATGGCGGTGTGAGCACTGGATGACTCTAGGCCCAGATCCCCCAGGGCAGTGGTGTGGGTCTGAGGAGCACCAAAAAAGCTCTGAGAGTTGTAATGATGCCAGAATAAAAGCACATTGAAGGAGGGTCAGGACTCATGGTCTGGCAGTATGTTAATTGCCTCCACTCAAAACTGAAGTCAGCATTCTCCAGATTTAAAGAAAATAATAATCTCTTAAAACTCAAGTATCCAAAATAAAATTAATAATTGATCGGCTTTACTAAGAAACTGGAAAAACAAAAACAACAAAAAAACCTTGAAAGGACAGAGAACAGCTCACAGTGAAAGGACGAGAAACGGCCCCTAACCCCTCACAGTGAAAGGACGAGAAACGGCCCCTAACCCAAGATGGTGTGGGCACTGTACAAACTTTGCATGTTAGAAGTACTTGTCACTGTTGCTGGCGATAAACATGGACACTCACGTGAACAGAGGGCATTGGAGCAGAGAAATGGAAGTATTTAGGGGCGTATTAGTGCTGAACAACACAGTAAGGGAAATACAGTGACCAGGGCAGGCTCAGCATTGAGTTGGAAGAAGATGTAGGGGCTAGATGCTGAGATGGTGTGATGGAGAATAAGTCCAGCTTCAATTCTGACTCTTCCCACTTACCTACAGGGAGGCTGCATGTAACAGAGCAAAGGAGAGGAGCAGGGGAGAGAGAGGAGGAAGAGTGATGTGTGTGTGTGTGTGTGTTGTGTGTATTCCTGTTCACATGTGTTCAAGTGCATGTATATGGAGGCCAAAGGCTGATGTCAGTTGTCTTCTTTGCTCACTCTACTTTATATACTGAGGCAGGGTCTCCCATTTGTACCCAGAGCTCACTGATTTAGCTAATCTAGTCAGTCAGCTCCCAAGGGACCACTTGTCCCTGCCTCTGGCATGGTCGGATAGCAGGAAGGCTGCTCCCTCCTGGCATTTCTGTGGGTGCTAGGATACAGTCTCTGGTCCCTTAATCATTTTCATCAAGTGCTTTTGGACTGTCTCAAGCCCTGGGTGATTCTGTAGGCATAAAGGAGTTAATTCTAAATTTATATGGAAAAACAAATGAAACAGAACTAAAACTACTGACAGTTTTGAAAAGGAGCAAAAGAACTAAGAGATGCTCCAAGGTGACCAGATGTTAGGGCCATGAAAGGGCAGCATGTATTCTGGTCGAGCACCGGCTAGAAATCGCCAGAGACCCTAGGTGATCCTAAGGGGCAGCATGCATTTCACCACGCTCCCAGACTCAAGGCTCCTGACATGAGGCTGCAGACCTAAATAGAGTGGGGTCCTTCAGTCACATAGGACAACGCCCCCTAGCCCTTCCACAGGTAGATGGCATGACTACAGGCCACAAAGCCTGAAGACAGATCTTCATATTAATGAGGTACCTAACAACTAGGGGGTGTAGCCAATTAAACACTACTTTTCAAATCCTCCTCCTTGCAAAAGGTATTTAACCTTAGGCCTGCCCTGAAAAATACCAGGGTATCGTTTTCATCCATTTTTCACCATGAAAATAAATATCGTAAGACCATGGACTGTTTCTCTTCTTCGAAATCCACTGTGGGGGACAGTGGAGCAGGTCTTCATCCACAGAGCCGCTGCCTAATCTCCCAGCAGAAGAACCCTCAGCATTCCCAGCCACCCAGCCACGGAGACCACGAACCCAGCCACCCAAACCAAGCGGGCAGCCACCACATAGCCAAGCGAGCTGCAGTGACCAAGCCAAGAACTCTCATCCCTGCGGGAAGCAGCTGGAATTCACCCCTTCCCCTCTCCTCTTTGGCTGTGAGCCAATCTAGCCCCCACTTTGTTCTCGGCCCTTCAGCTCTCCAGCAGTGTCTGGGCCAGGGCCCAAAAGCCAGAGAACCAGCCAGTTCTCAGCCACCTTTTGGACCTGGGAACCCCCAAGCCAAGAGCCCCAGTTCCCTGTGGTACCTCAGACTGTGCTCCCTACCCTGGAGCAGAGTCCTGAGGCTTCATATAGCCCAATGTCTGTGTGGAGTGAGCACAGTCAAATTCCTGTGCTTCTGTCCCTACGAGAGGCCCTAGCCACTTGGCAAGACAGACGTGGGACCCACACATCAACAACAGGTCCCACAGCCACACTACAACCCAACAACCAGATTTACAGCTGTCCTGAGACACCTTGCTGCTGTTATGTCAATGGAGGGGGGAAGAGAGTCAGTATATAGGATCCACAGAGGCGTGGCCAGTATGGACCATGGACTAAGAAAGGCAAACTATAAGCCTTGGAAGAAAACAGAAAACCTTTTGAGTTTTAGTAGAACTCTCTTTCACAAACACAGTACAGAAAGCACAATACACAAAAGACTCATTTAAAAACTCAGTTAAACTTAAAGCTCTCTCTGAATTACACTATTTAGGTATTAATGATAAACTATAGACTATTAGAAATCATATACCTAATAAAGGGTTGGTGTCCAGAATATATAAAGACCCCTGAAATAATTATATAACTCTACAAAACCCCCCAAAAGTTTTGTTTTCAAAGCAAACAGTATGTACCATTGCGAGTTTGGGGGTTGGAATTGGTTAGAGCTTGCTTGGGGGAAACTGGAACGGCACCCTTTCTGGAAAATGCCGCCTGGGGCTTCATTTTGATTTTCTACGTCTCCACTTACCCTTCATGTTGCACTAAACTTTGAAATAACACAGGTTGAATATTCCTTTTCAGAAAAGTTTGGGAAGACACCTAGTCCATATTTAGGAGCCTTTGAATTTTGGAATGGCTGTATAGATCTTACCATCTGAAAGAAATACCATCTGAAAGTCCAAGGTCCAGAATGCTTGGAAATCAAAGGGTTGTTTGTTTGTTTTTTGTTTTGTTTTTGTTTTGTTTTGTTTTGAGTTTTGTGTCAGTGTGCAAATATTTTGGAGGTTGAATTTTTGAATTAGGAATGTTAAACTTGTGTATAGTTTATTTTTTAAAACAATAAAAAAAAGAAGGTAATACTTGTTTTACTATGAGTTAGCATTAGTGGTGTGTGTGTGTGTGTGTGTGTGTGTGTGTGTGTGTAAGCACGAATGTGCACACCTTTGTGTTTAGGTGAGTGCATAGAGGCCAAAAGTTGATACCAGGGTTTTCTTGTATTGCTGTCTACCTTATTCCTTGAGACAGTATCTCTCACTGACTGGGACCAGCAAGGCCCTGCCTGGATTCTGCCTTTCTGGATGCTTCCATTGCTATGGTTACAGATGTGCACCACCACACCCTTCTTAAACTTAGGACATCATGCTTGTGTAGCGAATGACACTTGAAACAGACTCATTTTTTAGACAAAATGACTCTCAACTACTAATCTGGTTTGGGGTTGTTTTTTAGACACAACGAAGCATACACATGGACAAACCCCACCTGTTGTGTGCATAACATCATTGTGGGCAAACTCTGGATTGAACAGTACGGCAACGTGGAAATCGTAAACCACAAGTAAGGCTCTCCGGCTCTTTCTGTACTCGTCTCCTTTAAAAGCCTTACTGCATGCCGGGAGTTTAAGACCAGGGAGTATACATAACTCCCGAGTGAGTAGGATAGAAGGCTTTCCATTTCATGATAATTCCTACACAGACTGGGTGGACCCTGGGCCTCCCCAGGACTTCCTTCCAGTTTCAGCCGGCCTCCCATTGTAAGGCAGGTAAAGTGGGGAAAGCATGGAGATATTCTGAAAAGTTAGCTTCAGATTCTGTAAGTCATTGCTGTGAGTGCTTCTGAGCTTGTCCTTGTGCAGGGGGGGGGGGTCCTGATGGAGGGGAGGGGTGGGAGCCTTTGAGGACTCTGATGGTGGCCGCCACCAGGAAGCCATCCGCTTACTGTTCTCGGCATTGTGTGGACATGGAAACTTTCCTTCCTTTGTAGGACTGGGGACAAGTGTGTGTTGAATTTTAAGCCATGCGGCCTTTTTGGCAAGGAATTACACAAAGTTGAAGGCTACATACAAGATAAAAGGTATAGTTTCTTCTTTTTAGCTTTGGTTGTATATGATTATTTAGATATTGGTATTCAGCTGTGCTGACTGATAGACTGGCATTCTAATAACAGTAAAGGCTTCTAAAGAAAATAACTATTTCTTTAAAGGTTGTACATATAAAAATATAGTAACACTTTATTACAGCACAACATGGGCTTAACTGGCAACTAAATACCAGTTTTTCTTGATAGCAAAAAGAAGCTCTGTGCGCTTTACGGGAGGTGGACCGAGTGCTTGTACAGCGTAGACCCTGCCACTTTTGACACTTACAAAAAGAATGATAAGAAAAACACAGAAGAGAAGAAGAACAGCAAACAGGTAAGCATACTGCAGGTGGTGCAGCCACGGGCTTCTGCATGTGGACAGACACTTCGGAGCCGCCTGTCTCTGGAGCTGTCTGTCAGTGCTGCTAACACATGAGTTCTTCTCATTGCATCTTTTGAATGGAGAGATATCTGTCCTGAGTGGAGAATGCCCGGCTTGAGCTTGGCTGTGGCAGTGTCACTAGTGTGTGGAGTATCCACTTGACTGTGTCACTTGGGAAAGGTGCCCGTCTCCATGGCACAGGAGCAGGTTTCCCTCCTGTTCTTGTGTGTTAGAGGTAGAAATGGTCCTTGTAGGTAAGCCTTCTTCATGTCTGTAGGCTTACCTGTCTCACTGCTCTGTTCCTACCTCACTGACTCAGCACCACAGTTCTGGCTGTCCTATACTGTTCTCTTGAGCTGGACATTGCTGTTTGTGGAGCAACCTTGTCCCAGTTCCAGGCAAGCACAAGCTGCTTGCCTGCCACAGGCCTGCTCTGGCATTCTGCAGGCTTGTATCTCCTTCCTGCAGTCAGAGTTGCTGAGGGCTAAAGAGAGATTGCGTCTGTGGGGACAGGAGATGCTTGTTTGGAGCTGAGCCAGGAGAAGCAGGGACTGTGGATTAGAAACTACCTCAGTCATCTGTGAGCAGTACAAGCTCAGATCATTTCCAGCCCTCGGCCTCTGATGTCAACTCTAAAATAGGAGTTTTAGTAGCACCGCTTTGCCAGATGAGTGGAGTTCTTTGCTGGACTTTGTGAAGGTCTCAGAACACTGTATGCTCTCTGTTTAAAGTCAGTTTTGTTCCAAGTATGCCCCGTGTCTACCAGCCAGGTGTTGTCTGATAGCTCACTCAACATGCAGGTTCTAAGTCCTAATCCAGGCTCAGTCCCCAGACTCAGGCCCACTAAGTCATAAAGCTGGGGCTTGTCTCTGTTTGTTTCTTCTTTTTAAACAATTCCTTTAGCCATTATACTAAATGGTAGGTTTCCTTTTGGCATCTCCACACATACATAGCAAGTATGTGTTGTATTTCCTACCTCATCACCCTCTTTCCTTCCTATTTCCTGTTTCTTCTTGCCCTTCCTCCTCCTAAATAGTCCCACTTCCACTTTCATGGCGTGCATGATGTGTAACCTAGAGCATTCATGTGAGAGAAATGTATCAAACTTGTCAAAGGCTGGCTGGTTTCATTTCACGTGAAATTCTCCATGTCTGCTCATTTCTCCATTAATTTTTGGATGTGAGGAAGTTCAAGAAGCTCCCAGTTTTCTCAGGGGTAGATGGCACATTTATTTATCTGTGACTTTGTACATTAGGAGTTAGCCTTGGGCCTGTTTATTTTCTGACTGGAGTGCGCAGCTTTGATATGCTTCCCTCAGCTGTGAGTGCGTAGCTCCTCGTGTTCCTGCCTGTGTGTGTCTCTTCTGCAAGGTGAACCCAGTCCTCTGCAGGAAGCCTTAGTGGGATGAAGAAGGAAATGTCCCAGACTGCATGGCCGCAGCGGCACTGAGAGAAGGAACTTGGTAAACGCCACTGCCTTGGTATACATGCCACAACCTCTCACAGACTGTGGACAGCAAAGGACTCTGGCCAGATTCCAGAAAATACTCTTATGTTCCATTCTTTATAGAAAACAGCCTTCCTCTCAAGCTTCTATCCTGGTCTGCTTTCTCTCATGCTGGGCACAGCTCCCTCCTGCCCGCTACTGCTGTTCCTGAAAGGTTCCATGGGCCTCCTGCCCATGTCCTGGGCAGCAGCAGCAGCCTCGGCACCTTGCTGTGGTTCCACAGTCTGTTCACAAGGCACCTCAACCAGAAGCCAACCAGAAGCTGCAGCTTTGTTAACTCATGTTGAGGATTTTACTGCACCTTCTAAATCTTTGACTTCTTTATGTTTTCTGTTATGATGCTAATAGCTTCACATGGGTCTCATCAGCAAAGGTCAAACATACAGTGCTTAGCAGAGCTCTGGCCTGTGGGGAAGTAGGCAGAGGAAACCACCCTGTTCCTTTTTCACCTACTATTTTTGAAAGCGCTCCTTTTTTTGTCTGCAGCATGAGGGAGCCTGCTGGCTCTGTGTCATTGATGAATTTAGTTAAGTGGCTCAGTATGTAAACTTTCATTCCCATATGCGTGCATTGGCTTCTGACTTCTCCTGTTTAAATGTGTTCCTGACCTTTAGTGTGTAGCTCTCAGGTTGTCAGGCTGTTCCTATAAGACACTAGCAAAGAAAGCCAGCGGCAACAAAGGCTTGAACACAGACACAGGGAGTGGAATAAGCCTAGAGTCCCAGACCCCCAGCATGTGTCATTTATTGTCATGGGGACAAGTAGAGCACCCACAGCGTCGTCCTGCTCTGTCTCTAGCTTCTCCTGGGTTTGCATATGCAGCTGTGACCTCCACAGCATGTGACCTTTCACAGCCTGCTTTTCATGGCAGCCATCCTTTAATCCACACCTGCTTCAGGAGCATGTGTTTAGTGGTTAACTCATTGCTCTGGTTCCAGGATCCCTCAGTTATTCCAAGTAGTTGGAGGCTGTCAGCCACCTTGCTCATTTGCATCTAGGGGGCTAGCCATGTTGCTTTGGAAGGCATGGATGCTCTTTCTGCTAGTGGTTGAAGAAAAAGTGTAGGGGTAATTGACAACCAGCATGGGGCTCCAGGAACAGCCCTGGGAACTATGGAAGCTAAGTCCTTTCAGATCCTTGTCCCCTGGGCTGTGTGCCTACACATGCCTCAGTCTGACCTTTTTGAAAACTGTTTTTTGGACTGTTTCAGTTTTAGCCCTTCTGTGTGTGCTCTAGGCTCTTGCCTAGTCATCAGAGCACATAGTTGTATATTTAAAACCTTGCTTGGTTTTCTAGACAAGCTCATCTGAGGAATCTGATGAAATGCCAGTGCCAGATTCTGAGAGCGTATTCATTATCCCTGGAAGTGTGCTCCTGTGGCGGATAGCCCCTCGGCCTCCCAACTCTGCTCAGGTGAGCCCAGCCTGCTAAATACAGTAACTATTTGATACCCAGTTTGCATACCACCCTTCCATAGGCAGCAGCGCCTAAGGCCTTTTAGATGTCCCCTGCTGCCTCCCGTAGGTCCCATTCCCTCCTTATGTAGAGGGCTTTTTGTGAGCTGGAATGCATGCTGGATAGAGCTGTGCTAAGGGTCTCTTTAACAGAGACTCAGGGGTGAGAGCAGCCCTTGTTAAACAGACTGATGCAATTGATCAGTGGAGACCCTCCAGACCCAGCAGGATGTGGTTTTAATGAAGGAAACATAATGGATGTTAGTATACTACCCTGTGAGGTCTGCTGTGAGCTGCGTGTCCACGGGATGCTGCAGATTTGGATGGACCCCTTAAGCACTGTCTGAGAAAGGCTGCCCATCACAACTGCATGGGAGCCGTAGCTCCTAGGGTGAAGAGCTCTCCTGGGCTCTCCCTCACCTTGGGAAGTGTTTAACATGCTTTCTTGGCCGTGTTTCAGATGTATAATTTTACCAGCTTTGCCATGGTTTTGAATGAAGTAGACAAGGAGATGGAGAGTGTGATTCCCAAGACTGACTGCAGGCTGCGGCCTGACATCAGAGCCATGGAGAATGGAGAGATCGGTGAGAAGACCGCCAGCATCCCATGGTACCCGGGGTCGTAGCCTCTTAGAGAGTTATCTGTTAAAATCTAGCACCTTTGGCTTTAAGTTTGGGGATCTGAGATCATCCTTACTTAAGCTCAGATTCATGAATGGTGCTCCCTCTGTTAACTACATGGCAGATGGCTAGAGATGGACCAGTCAGAGGATACTTAGCAACTTTAAACTGTAGTCTGCAAACTTCACTATGTATTTGAAAATTCATGTTGTGAGCTTCATAAGAGAGTATAGCTTCATCTTCAGTAGCACATTTAGTCTTAAAATGGGAAACTTCTGTTGACTCAAGAGGCTATGGCTCCTGTGCCTTAGAAAGTACAGGACAGCCTTGGACAGTACAGATGACCTCTTCTAGTGCATGTGGTATTGGGCTTAAAGTTCTCATTGAGACTAGTTCTCAACAGAGGGATAGAGCAAAGGTATTTTGTACAGTTGTTTGAATTACTTAGGAATGGACTGAAGGGAATCTCTGAGGTCTCACTCAGAAGTTTCAATAATCTCACTTTCATTTAGCTTTTCTACTCAGTTTCCATTGAAGCATTTTTGCCTGACATTTGTGGCCCTAGTAATAAGCAAATCGCTTTTTGTAAATGCAGAAGTATCTGGATGTTGTTTGATGAAAGCTCATTATATGCATGAATGAAATTCTCAATGTATCAGTTAAAAAAAAGACATGACAGTGTCAGATGCCAACACTTCCTATGACTAGTCTAGAGTATGTGTGAATTTCTTGTCTAATTAACTTAGTTGGTACTGGAGTTTCACATGCTAGGTAAATACTCTATTATTGGGGTAGATCTCTATTTTTAAAGAGAGGGTCTTACTAAGTTGCCCACACTGGCCTTAAACTTAGGATCTTCCTGCCTCAATTTCCAAATAGCTAAGATTCCAAACTGCCACCAATCTGCACCAGTGTGTATTAGATTTATCTTGACTTTAATGCTGTACAATGAAGGTAATGGTACTCCATATGGCCAGTGTTGTCTGTAGTTACTGTTTTTAGTGCCATGCCTGGCATGTCCTGCTTAAGAATATGTTTTTCTTTGGCCTTATTTTAGATCAAGCTAGTGAAGAAAAAAAACGACTTGAGGAAAAACAAAGAGCAGCCCGCAAAAACAGGTCCAAGTCAGAAGAGGACTGGAAGACAAGGTGTGTACCCTGTTCAGTGTGAGCCAGCTAGTACACTGCTGTGTGTGAGTGACAGGGGTATGATGTACTGTGAGCCACAGAGCAGGGACTGCTCATCTGCCCCAGGCTCGGAGGATATGATTGCCAGGTACTTATGATATTAATTTAAGTATTAAAAGGGAGAGTTATGTTTGTGACAAGAAAAATGACTTGAGAAGTTAAAGTTACAGTGTTGACAGTTGTTAGATGAATCTGCTGGGCACATATATCTTTCCCCTTACCCAACATTCCTTCCATATTGAAAGATCGAAAGGTCCATGTTGAGTATACTCTAGAGTAAGACTTGCCTATGTGTAAATTAGAGGGTCATTCATGTGTGCATATATCATGTGTCATTTATTTGAGTAGCGCCTTTGCCAAACACAGGGGTTAGACAGGGTAAAATTAGGAAAAATATTTTGGGCAGTGTCAAATATCTAATGTTTGAATAGTCTGGGAGTTCCTTTGTAGTCTCTTGTGTTATTAATGAGTCCCCTGTAACCATTGTTCACGATTCAGTTAGTAAGTGAATGTTAAAGTCAACAGAGGCACAGTGTTGCAAGCGTTCTAGTAGATCTCACGGCTTTTAAATCAATGTAGCAATGCTCTTATAGCATCTACCTCAATGAGTGTTTTGGATTTATTCACATAATAGTTTTTGGAAAAGAACTTGTAAAGAAAATACATGGATTTAAAACCAGGTGGCTGCTATGGTTGCACAAATGAACAGGACCTAGGTAACTCTTCCCTTCCTGCCTGTGCACACCCCAGATGTGCTCTAAACTGTACTCTACTGTACTCTATACTGTATTAAACCTGCTCCCAAGTGCCGGACGGTTAACATGGTAAGACCTTTTAGAGACAGGTAAATGACTCAGGTAGCTCATTTCATGATTAGGACAGGTTAGAATGGTAAAAGCTAGATATAGCCCAAGAATCGAAATTGAGACCCAGTAAAATTTGGACTGGATTGATGTCACTGGCATAGCAGATGAGGAAAATCACAGCCCTTGAACTCAAACCTGTTTGCCAGTGCCAGTTTGGGTAACCAGCAATTGTCTAAGGGCTCCAGCACTCAGCTCACCTGTCAGATGGAGCTCTTGGGGGTACATGTGACGCCTGCTGTCACTGACATACTGTTGCCAGCATCACAGGCTGCCTCTCATGGATGATCACACATGGGACAGATTCCATTTAGCACTCATTGCTAACTGCTGTGGATTGTAGCTGCTTTGCCTGAAGATATGTCCCCTTTGGGATTCATGTGCGTACATGTTCTCCAGCTAGAAAAACCACTAGAAAACTCTTCACTTCTTTAAGGTCACACAGAGCCAAGTACTTAAATAGCAATAGCCTGTGGTTTTTGAGTCATTTGCCCTCTGAACTTTGTCCTTTCTCATTGAACAGGTGGTTCCATCAAGGTCCTAACCCCTACAGTGGAGCACAGGACTGGATTTATTCTGGCAGCTACTGGGACAGAAACTACTTCAATTTGCCTGATATTTATTAAAGTGCAGAGAAGTCAAGGTGTTTGCTAATCTAAATAAGTCTTAAGCTTACGTTTTTAAATTTTTCCCCTTGGTTTCTACTCCTCTATAGTTTGCGTTTTACCCACTAAGGCAAGGCCTCTGGTCACACTGGGCACAATCTGAAAGAGAACAAGGCATTGCTGCTCCACAGTTGGTTACTTGGAGCAGTGTTCACTGGAAACCTAGTGTAGTACTCAGCAATGTGGGATCTGTAATGACCCCATAGTGATCATAGTGTAGTGATTCAAAATCAAGTTATTTTGAATATTTTTATGCTATAATGCTTGAGTATTTTAGGTATAGCTTTGAAACCTTTAGAATTCTTCTGTACAATGTTACGTGCTCAAATGTAGAGATTATCATTTTATAAAAACTAAATTGGTATGATGGCCTTTTAGGGAAATTAATCCTCTCAGTTTTACTTCTCACCTCCTAGAGAGGGAGCAGGATTCCTGATCTGAAAATTCTAAACTGGGACAGGCATTTACTTATCTCAGCTCTGAGTTTATGTTCACATTTTGTGATCACTGTCATTAGATTTTACAGGGTTAATGTGTGTTTGAACTGAAAATCAAAAAAATGCCCTAAAATAGATTTTAATCAATATAATTATCTAATGACAAGTCTTTTAGCCTCAACTTCCAGTGGCAAATGCCACAGAAAAATTAAACTGCACTCATGTATTATAATCTAGGTAAGAGAAGGCCTTGTGCATTTTGAGTTTGCAGGGTACTGGAGACCTACTGTACAGTAGCTTTTCCCCATTAATTGGGGTACTCTTATAGTATTTATCCAACCAAACCCAGACTGAGATACTTGCCCTAAAGGGCCTTAGGTAGCTTCCAGTAAGTTAATTGTCTTGAAGTTAACAAGTGTTATGATGCTAAATAAAGGCTTTAGAATATCAAAAAAAAAAAGTGTGAATGCTTCCAGAATTTCAGTTTATATTGTAACCTAACACTATCCTTAATTATCAAAGGTATTCCCAGGGTCAGAGAGAGTGTGGGATCTAGCATACAGACCATGAAGTGGTCAGTTAGCACTCTAGTACAATTGTTATGTGAATTCCTGACTGGAAAGCCTGCTTGGGTATGGGCTGGACAATGTTAAGGAAGTTCGTATACCTGCTAAGTTACTAAAACAACATGCAGTTTTATGCTTGCAGGAAGTTTATTGATACAGTTCACATGGTGACAAACTCCACCTTGAATGCTGAATCAAACAGCATCATTTTCAGCATCTGTTAATGAAGAGACATTGAACTGTTTAAATATCTGAGCTACATGCTTGGTGTTACTAATCAAAAACATCCTAGAACTTCCTGCTGAGGCCACCTCTTGACAACAGAAGGTTGTTGTGATTAGAACCATGGCCATGCAACTGAAATACTGCCTCCCTCTCAGCCCCCCAAGATCACAATGGCCGACTAAAGCCACACGCCTGGCAGCACTTCATAGAAAGTGCTTGTCTTCTCCCTGGGCTTCATGCTTTAATCACCCCACTGTCTACACTGATGGCAGAATAAAAAATTGACTGTTAAAATTGCCCAACTCTTACTTCAGCCCTCTCTGTGTTCAACCTGCTATGTGAACATATAGTTAGTCTCTCAAAAAAGCCAATTGTTCCTTCAGCCCCTCTGTTTAACCTCTTGAGCGGACACACAGTCAGTAGCTCATCTTGGCTCCTCCCTATTTCTTAAAAATTATCCTCACTTTAAAGAAAACTTCTATTCTTTTAGAATCTACCATGTACTCAAAGATGTCTGGACATTCTAGTCAGAGGCCAAGCACATAAACTTAAGTATCCCCCATGTTTTATCAAGTGTATGAATGCCCAACCTCTAAGTGTTGAAGGGTCAAGTGTGTCACATCCCACATGTCACAGTAGGAAGGGTTACCTACTCTTTTAAGGCTCTGCTCTGCGGACATGGGCAGTAGTCACAGTAATCTCGCCAGCAATACCGTAACTTCCAAAGGGAGTACGTTTGTCACCAGATCCTGAACTCTTTTTAGCTACATCTTCTACTGGGAAAGCAACAGAAAGAAAGACTGGGCTTTGCGGTCTGGGGCCATCTTGTCCACTTGTAGGAGGACTAGCATTCTGGGGATTTGGGGCAGGTCTCTGGAATGTCTGATCTGCAGGAACAGCAATGGGCACTTGCACTGCAGCATATCTCTTCAAGGCATCTGACTGTGACACAACAGCATGTCCAGGAAGAGGGTTCCAATCCTGCGCTTCCTGAACATTTGAGCCTACTAATATAAAAGGTGGGGCACTGGTCTTCTTGCTGTCATCCATCATCACATAAGCTGGAGAAGTGACTTTCGGTGGGTTCTGCAGAAACTGTGGCTCCTTAGGATTAGGTAAATACAGGGTTGCTTGGGGAAAAGGCCCAGGTGCAGGTGGCGGTGATGGGCGACTTTGTTGATTCATATCAGTTAGACAATAAAGTGTCCACATATTAGAATATGGTGGTGGTTGTCCTGCTTCGCTTGTTGCTAGCGCTATAAGAAAAAAATTGCAGGCATTAAAGGTTTGGTCTCTGTATCAGGCACTATGCACAGTCATGTCTTTTTAAATCTTTTTTTAAAAACATATAAATAAGCAATTGTAGTATGTGGCATAAAGCATGCTATAGAGAGGACTCTGGAAATTGTGCCTGGTAATGTGAAGGAGCAGATGGCTCAGGACAGTTGGAAAGGGGTGACAGCAATGGCAGGGATGGCAGGGTTGCTGCTGAAGAAGCACTTGTGTCCTAAGTTGCTGTTTCCAGACTCTTAACACGGTTTTGGTTCCTTGAGACACAATATCACTGTGAGCCCAGGTTGGCCTTGAACTCTTGGCAGTCTTCCTGTCTCAGTCTTCCACGAGCTAGGATTACCACCATACCTAACCAGAATCTTAAACTTTATATGTCGCTTCCATGTAGCACTCAGAAGAAAGTCAACAGAACTTTTTACTTTACCAAAAATAATCAACCATATGAAGCCATTAAAAAAATCATGTTAGTGCATCTGCACAGTAGTTCCTCCTCGGCTCAGATGTTACATGCCACCTAATGTCCCTGGTCTTTTGACAGGCACCATCATCTCCCATCTCCAAACTATTACCTCATCTAGGACTCAGAATCCCAGAGAGCACTCCTTTTAGCCAAAGCTAGACACCACCGTAAGCCTCAGAAGACAGCAAAAAGCTGGTGGGCATTTTAATATAAAAGGCTAGAAGAGCCATCCACCTTATAGCGAGGGAGTCTGTTGTGCTGATAGTGGCTTGCCACCACAGGGACTCAGATGTGCCTGGTTCATGTTTGAATTCTAGGCCTATTCTGGTACAGTCTTTTCTCTCTCCACAGAAAATGACACTATGCCCAGATTAAATGAGACTTTCAATTGCTTCAGACAAGTTCAGTTTATCTTCAAGCTTATTAAAAATACAATCCAAATCTCCAGTCTCTCCAAACAGGAGAATCTAGGACGTCAATTTGAGTTTTCTTGGTAACTTGTCCACAGTATTAAGGACAGCTGTCCCTCAGTAACAGCTAAGTGCCTGAAAACAGTGAGTTGGCCAGAAGTGCGGTCAAGCCCCATGATGCCCGCCGCTTGGGCTCTGCAGCCCTCTGCCATTCCAGCTGCCCTGAGTCTGCCACACTGCCAGTCAGAATTTGATTATGGAGCACCTGCTTTGCTAATAGTTCTGATTTGTTCTGGTTTGAGTCAGAGTTGAGAGCTTTGCAACAGGAATGGGAGGCTTCTTTCATGCATGTCCCTTCAGACACCCAGGAGAGAAGGGAGAGCCACTGCAGTGTTCAGCTAGGCACAAGGGTAGGCAGACCAAATGCCACAATGTGATGGAGATGGTGGTTATAACTCATGTGTCAGGAGGAAAATCAGCTGGAGGCTAAGCAGCCAAGAAGGCAGCTTGACTTCAGTGTGGGTCTGCGGTGACTGACCTAAGGAGCAAGCACGGGACCTGCATCCACTGTCATTGTCCTGTGGACAGCCATTATTTCCGCTGCTTTCCTGTGTCACAGAGGCTCCATCTAATCTGTCCTCTCTCCATCCAACTATAGCGTCGCTCCCTCAGCTGCAGGAAGCAGTGTCTGAGCCAGCACCCAGCCTGATTGCACAGTTCTCCTGACTCTGCGAAAGCAGTCAGCCACACCACCATTTCTTTCATGTTTAAATGCCACAGCCCAAATAAATGCAGTGTGCAGTGTTAACTTCTCCTCGATGGACAACCTCAAAATGACATCCTATAATCATTTTGTAAACAGGCATTAAAAGTCTAACAGATTCCCATGTTTACAAATGTGCAAAATGAATCAAGCTTTGACAACGCCATGTGGTTTCCATAATAGTAAAATTGTAAGTACAACAAAGCCTTTAAGTAGGTTTGGCATTTAAAAAACCTGAACATGGACTTTGGCCAGTTGGCAGAAGAGCAGAGCTGGGTGGATGGACACTAGATACAGATGTCACCTGAAACAATATGTGAATGTGCAAGTATCTAATTTTCTTACCTGGCTTCATCAAACCTGTTCAGGTGCAGCTTCCCCATCTGGTTGGATTTCTGGTTCAGTAAAGCCTCCTGGCGCAGGAGGGAAGGGGTCACCAGATGAATGGGGTGCAGCATTCCCCCCTGACTCCTCCTGGCCAGGATCATCAGGGTCTATGGTAACGATCTCCATTTCAAGGTGCAGAGAATTTTCAGAGGCTACTTTGAGAAAGCCCTCTGCATCCAGGGGTTCTGCAGGTCCCTCGGGCTGACCATCTAAAGCACCGTTAGAGAGCAGAACTGTAGCCTCTGCCTCCATATGTACTGAGGACTTGTGTTGGGAATTCTCCACCTGTACAATTTTCAGAGACTCTATAGATATTTTAGTCTTGGGTTCTACAGGTTTGGGACTACCTGGTGGTGACTGCTCAATTTCTTTAACACAAGCAACTTTCTCAGTAAAAGGGATAAATATGTATCCCGGTATCTGCTCAACATAGACAACTCCTTCATTGACAGGCACATCGTTATATATGGATGATATACGACAGGCTGATGTAACCTGAGTATCAGGAGCTTCATCATAAGCAGGAGGTTCTTGTTCACCCTGCAAGGGGGCTGAGGAAGCCTTTGGTGGTTCAGCCTCAGAAATAGGACCAACAACTACCTGCGCAGATGTTTGGCTCACAACCTGCACTTCTACCGTCTCTCCAGAACACACCAGAGGAGCAGACAGCACGACTTCTTCAGCAAACTCTGCACTCAGTGCGTCCTGGGGAACAGCAGGCGTACTTGTTGCCACGTCCACCATTAAAACTTCAGAATAAGTAGATGGAACATTACCTAACATCTGAGCAGCAAACTGAGCTGGGTCAGCAGGGACATAGGCATACTCGGCAGAGACAGGCGCTGGAGGTGGTGATGAGGGTGGGGTGGTCGTCTTAGGAGTAGTTGGTTTGTCAGAAGGACCCCAAGCTCCTTCACTTGTCTCCTCAGGCTGTAGTTCAGCATGAACTGATGGAAACTGAGTGGTTTTGTTGCTAAATAGTGGTCCAGCTACATTGTCCTCCTCTGTGTCTGTGGATTTTTCCATCCGTGTAGGTTCGCAGGAAACTGGAGGTGTTTTTATAGGTTCCTTGATACATTCTTTCTTCTCCACTGTCACTCCTTCTGCCCATTTCTCTACTAAAAGTAACAGCCAGGTGAATTAATCAGCAAGGACTCCTCAAAATATTTTAAATAAAGCAATGTGGAAGGGTGAACATTCAAATACAAATATACACTATCTATGTGCAACCTCTGTGAATTAGCATAGAATTATCATAGCTAATGAACCTGTAACAGCTTCTATCCATCCACCTAAACTCTCTTCATTTCCTTAGAAATAAATGACATATTATAGTGGCAAAACTATGGTATCAATCTCAACTGTCCAGCAATTGTGTAATTCAGTTCCTAGAAACCTCCTGGTCCAAAGTTCCACCAAAAAAAAAACAAAAACAAAAAACCAAAGCCAAGCCATGGAGGAGCCGGCCCAGGAGCTAACATTCTTACTGTGCAAGCACGAGGTCCTGGCCATGTGAGAGCTGGGCAGGACGTCTGGAATGTCACCTGAAATCCCAGCACTATAGAGGCCAGAAGACGGTGTGACCTCGCCTAGCAGGAGTTGGCAAGCTCTGGATTTGATGAGAGACCCTGCCTCAATAAAGAACGTGGCATGTGACCACTATCAGTTTTGGGCCTCCACATGCACGTGCCACACAAAACCACAAGGTGAGCAAAGGAAAAACTAAAAACTAATATGGGACGTAAATTATTCCACACTTTCAGCCGACGTCTTAACCGCACAGGTGCATTCCTCCATTTAAGAAAACCAGTATGCAAAGTTTAGCACCGAACTGGCAACACAGCCAGTTAGAAGGCGTCATATATTCTAACTTGAAATGGTCATATTTGCTGATGTGGCAGAATGCAGCTGAAATCATACTGACCCAGATAAAAAGGAAAGGGAAAGCCCTAGCTCCAAGAGGGCAGCCACCGAAAGCTCAAGCTTGAACAAAAGTCAAGGCAGCTGATGACTTGCAGACTGTTCTGGAAACAGTTCGTTTTGAGTGTCAGTGCACACACCTCCATGACTGCCATGGCTGTACCTCTTTCAGGCTTTCACACCTGCTTGAGTCTTTCTCTTCAGAAAGTACAGAATCTGCAGGGAAAGTGGATTTTGCTCTTATGACAAGTATTTACTTCAGGGCAAAGGTTTGGAAACCGTGTTGGTGGCACAGGCCTAGGACCCCAACACTTAGGAGGTGAAGGCAGGAGGACTGCCATGAGTTCATATCAGCTGTAGCTATAGGGCCTTAAGACCCTACTCAAAACCAGAAATGCTTTCATAGGTTCATGCTGCTTTCTAGAGGAAGGTGTCTTCAGTGTCTCCCTCCACAGGAGCTGTGTGATTCTGGACCTCGGTGGCCACACCAAATGTGTTGGGAAAAGTTACTCTTAACACTGACCTCACTTATCTAATTAATCTCTTGAGGACTCGCCAGCCTGTCATGATCTTTCCAATCTCTTGCTAGGGATTTACTCTCAGATTTTGTGAATGCTAAGGAAGTGCTCAACCACTGAGCTACATGACTCTAAGACTCTTTTTCCCACCATCACCTTTGACAGAGTGATGCTTTTACAAGTAAGAGTTGACAGTGCACAGAAACTTACACTCACTGGGAGATGATTTAAGCAAAAATATTGTAGGTATAAAAGCATAAGAACCTAATAATCATGTTAATAAAGATGCTGAGAGTCAGGGCTGGAGAGGAGATGGCTTGGCAGTGTAGAGCGCTTACTGGTTGCTCTTCAGAGGACCCGAGTTCTGGTCCCAGCACATAGACTCAAAACTGCCTCTAACTCTAGCTCCAGCAGACGACACCTTTGGGCACATGTATACACACATACACACATGCACGCTCATACACACACAATTTTAAATGATAATAAAATTTTTAAAAATCTTCAGAGTTCAAAAATACTAAGAAAGTGATCTGAATAAGCCTGAGTTGATAGTGACTCTTGTGTTAAGGATACAGAGAGGGTATCAGTCCTGAGTTTGTAATGACTGACAAGTACTGTTCTGCAGGCCTCAAAGAAAAGATGGGGATGAGATAGAATGTCAAGAAAAGGACCATCCTAACACCGAACAGTGCTCACGGGGCCACGATGGAACTATGGCCATTCTAAAGACAATAAGCCCCAGGAAAGGAGAGCGGTGACCCTTGGCTCTCATGTCCAGTTCTTTTCTTCTTCCAAGTGTGCATGGAATTTTGAAGTCATTGACAAGATGATTACGTATTCTGGTTTCCAATGACTATCAGAAATAGTTTCCTTTCTAGGAAAAATCCCAGAAAAAACTTTCAACAGGTAGATGACACAGGCAAAGGAGGTTTCTACCTCCAGCTTTTGGCACAGACTAGGAGCACACAGCGGTGCTGCTGGGCAGGCATATTAACCACTGGGAGTAACTTTGCAGATCAAAGCATCTTCACTGACTCATCATTTTTCATGGAACACATGCTCACATCTGATCTGACGGAGACAGAGTAGGGAATGGCCGCTAGCTCTTGCACACATACCAACTTCTAACACCTGATGCTGGCTTTAGGCTGATCTTGCTTCACTGAAGAGACTGAAAGAACAGATTAAGTCTTCCATGAACGGGTCATTTTCATATCTTACAAGTGATGTGAAGGCCTGAGAAGGCCTCTATTGTTGGGGTCAACCAGCAATGTATGTAGGATTATTATAGGTGCCACACTCCACATTGAAACGAAGGATTCACCCAAGGCAAGTTGTACTTCAGTAAAAGACAAAATGTCAGCTGTTAAAGTGATAATTTTGTGTAGAAAACTGAACAGCCACGTGGCCAGATTTACTCGCACCTGTCATAAGAATAGCAGAGAATTAACCAGTCAGAAGACAGGGAGCTGCCATTCAGAGAGGAAGTATTCCACTACACGGGAGTCTTGTGGTGTCTATAGGAGGACCAAGATGGATAGATATACAGTCTGTCTAGTAAGAAGCCATTTGAGGTGACAACATAAGGAAGATGAGAGCCAAGGCAATACCAGCCAGCCGTGTTCTGGTCCTAATCTCATGTTGCCATAGGTCTCCCCAGTAACAGGAGTGACCATTGCTATATTACTTCCTAAAGGGTGATCTGTTTTTATGAGCTTGCTACCAGTATTATCTGCATGCTTTGCCTATCTCATTGATATCTGTACTTATTTGCAGAAATAAACAACCATATCTCCTATTTAATTCCATCAGAAGTATGGCTGGCCTACATTTTTTTTAATTGTTAATCCAAATTTAAAAATTTGAGATGCAAAAACAAAAGTCCACATGTTTGAGTCCACCTGCCAAAATGACTCATGGATCAAACCTTCAGTAAACAAGTTAATTTCAGGATGCTATCAGGTAGTTGCCTCCTACCATAAAAATTCACTGTCACCCTTATGAACCATGGTAAGCCTACACAGGACGAGCACGCACACTCAGTATCTTCAAATGCAGCTCTTGTTTTAGAAGACAAAAGCACAATAGCTTTGACTGAGAACCTGGGATCATGGATAGAGGTGTGAATATGTGGCTACGAGTGTATGAACAAGTCCCACACTGTTTATCATAGGTAGCTAATAATGGCATCAGGTGTTTGCAGTGGCAGCTAGACTAGACAATGTAATATCCCAGAAATACCTCATTCTCTGCCCTCCAAAATGTCCATGTTTCCTATTGTAATCTTTATTTCCTGTTTTGCATGTCTTTTACAACAGAGTCAAACCATCATGATATATGCATTTTCTTAGATCTGACTCCTTAATTTTTCCAATTGCTTTTATCTTTGACTCATAAAAATGATGTGTTTTGGACCATTGTGGTAACAGCATCACCAAGCCTGATGACGACCTGAGTTCAGTCACCAGGACCCACATGAGCAAAAAAAAAGAAAAAAAAACCTGACTCCCCAAAGTTGTCCTCTAACCTACACATCCATACACATGCATGCTATTGTTGCAAGCACATGCACAGAACACGTGTGTGTGTGTGTGTGTTTAAAAATTTAAAAAACCTAAGGTTTAAATAATGACATGCTGAAGAGGTGGCTCAGTAGTTAAGAGAACTCATTGCTCTAGCAGATCTGGGTTCAGTTCCCAGCATCTGCATGGTGGATGACAACTTCCTATAATTCCAGTTCCAGGGGACCAGTACCTTTTTTGGACTTCTGCAGAAGGTGGAGTTTGTATGTATGTGTATCACTGCATATGTGCAAGAAAACACTCAGACACATAAATCTTCAAAAAGAAACATTTTTTTAAAAATGACAGTTTAAATGTGGCTGATAATTCCCTTCTTCCCCTGTAAAAACTACTCAGCTGCTTCCCCTGGTGGCCGGAATCAGTTTACCTCTTCACAAAATTCTGTGAGAAGCTTTTTCTCACCATTCTTTTAGATGCATTCTTTACCATTACATCCTCTTTTCTTAACTTATAATAATCTAAATGTTTCATTGTACAAATTCTGCCTTTTCTTACAACTCCGCGTCTTTGTTGCTACTTTGTCAACTCAGCTTCATGCCATCATGTTCTATTTAGACATTACAAATAAATGAAAACTAGCTTTCTCTAAGCATATATGTACTTCTGTGTCACAATGTCTAAGCCATGGAGGACGCTACTGTGTCCTAGAAATAGCTACTTAAACAGATGTGCAGCAGGAAGGATGGCCAAACACATGGAATCTCTTGTAGACTCAACTTACAGGAAACGATGGTATGGATATGTCTTTTTCTTTTGAGCAGTGATTTTTCTCCTAACCCTCATGCTTACATTGAAATGTCTTTCTAAACCCCAGCTCTACTTCATTGAAGAGTTCATACATCTTGAGTATTCTGAATCAGAAATGCCTAGAAGCTGGGATATTAAATGTTGAGGTTTTTTTTAAAAAAAAAAAAAAAACATTTTAGAATATCTGCATAACCTATTAGTAGAGAACCTGTAATCTGAAAACCAGGAATTTTGATACACTCTAAATCTGAGACCTTGAGCCAATTTGTGGTAGTTTTCATTTTAGATATTGGAGCGTGGTCCTCCCCACACCCCCCTTCTTTCTAAGATTTAAAATCTTCTAAACTGGAAATGGTTATTTTTAAAACAACAAGAACAGCAATAACAAAAACCTACCTGGTTTAGTTAAAAGTGCAAAGCACAGCTTGGTCATTTCACATGAGACACTGGTGTAGTAACCAAGGATGCAGTGGTATAATAGTTATGTGTGTTACCATGGTTGTGACAACCCTGCTGAAGCAGGCGTCTCTGTGGCACTTACCTTTCATCTGGTGAAACTGTTTAATCAGATCTTTTATATCCAGAGACGAATTCCCTGAAGAAATAAGCACAGGAAGTCAAATAGAGAGACAGTTTTCAACTTAAGCTGATTGCAAAGCAACAAATATAGAATCTAAAGCAATACAAACCTTCTCTAAACACAATGAGTTCTTTAAAATAAACAGCTGCAAACTGGGTGATGTTTGTTGGATTGGTTTTGAGAATGGCTCTGCTAACTCCCTCAAGCAGAGTCTTGAGGCCATAGGGAACAACAAGTCTGGGCTTTGAAGAAATCATTTTGGCAGGATGTCTGTAATTTCAACTATAATGAAGAGAAACAAAGTCTTACACTGTACATTAGATTTATTGAATTTTCTTATTTAGTTGGGGTTTCTAAAACCATATCCGTTAACATTGTTAGCTTTACTTTTAATCTCTTAAGTATTTATTCTAGTAACATACAAAATAAAACCCACTACCAAGTGCTTACTGTGCACAAGCAATTGATCTAGCACTCACTAAGAAGCTGGTAGGTGAGCCACAGCCATGACTCAAAGTTTCCTACAGACCTGAGGACCTGAATTTCATGGCTGGATCCCACGAGGTAGCAGGAGAGAACTAATTCCAACTTCTTTCACCTCCACACATGTGGCATGCATGCACATACAAGCACACATACCCACACCTGCATGCCACACATGTATGCACACACACAGGTACAACACACACACACACTTTAAAATAAATCAGTAGAAAAAGCCTTTCCAGGATCACCATAATACTTTAATATGTTTTAGGTTCAAATGAAACATATAAAATCCAATTACCATTTCCAGAAAGATAAATTAAGCACGTATATTTCCAAATAATATCCATAACAGTAACTAATGCTGTACAGTGTTGCAAAATGATTGCTACCAGAAAATCTGGTACTGTGCCATACTCATAAAATATAGTAAAATTATCCTTGACTTTCTTCTCTAGGCTCCCCCTTTTCTTCTACCTTGCTAACTTTTTTCTTTAGACTTTGCTGGCCTGAACTCACAGAGATCCATTTGCCAGTGCCTCCTGAGTGCTGGTACTCTGAGTGTTATATTTTCTACTAGGGTTGTCCCAGCCTTTGACCTTTGGTTATATTATCCACAAACATGTTGGGTTGCATTGACACAGGCTGCAGACTGGACACTCCTAGACCTATAATTCTCAAAGGAATAGAGTTTGCCAGCCCTAAACTGTGTGTGTCTACTCTGAAGCATTACAAAAGCTTGCAAATAGGTTTAAAAAAATCTTCAGTAATGAAAAATCACAATGCTGCAGTCTTTCACTTTACTAAGTATGGGTTTTAAATTCGGTCCTGAGCTACCAAGGAGCCTATAGGAAACAGGTATTTAAATGCTCAGACTTTGAGGTATTAAATGTATCGGTTGCTTAGGGAATCTTGGCTGTTCTAGACACTGACAACCTTCAAAATGCTTCTCATAGATCCTTATAAAGAGCAGACTACTGTGACAACGAACCATGTCCTAACACCCTGCAAGTATCATGGGGACTAAGTGGAATTGTTAGTGATAGCAACTCTATGAAGGGCCAGCTTCTAATAAAAACGCAATATGCCACAGCAAAAAGATTATTTAAAAGCACCTTTCACCTTACCAAAGACTAGGTCAAAATATTCACCTTACCAAAGACTAGGTCAAAATATTGATCCAAGGAAACCCTTTGAGACTACAAAGTTTAATTCCTTACTCATCTGGTGCATTGCCAAATTAAGTCATCTTTTGGGGGAAATGCGGCTTTACCACACCCACATGCTAAATGACAGTGATATGCATACATATATACATACACATATAGCAACCTTTCCTTGGCTAATTAATGCTACCAACTGTGCAGCAGCAGAGGGACAGTGCTAGTACCAGGTTTCAGTTTAGGAACACCAGGGATGCTGACTGCGAAATGGTGGTGGCATCAGCCATATGGCACCAACGCAGCTGACGGAGGGCTGACAGAGGGCTGTTCAAAGATAGCAGCTTTGTTGCTTAGTTTTTCAAAAACCTTTGCTATGAGTGAGCTTTTTGGAAAGGCACACCCTCTGGAATGTGCCCCCCTGACACAGCCCGGGTGGGATGCAGCTGCTTTCTGCCCGCGGATGCCAGTGGAGACTGCCGGGCCATCGAAGGCGTCTTCCAGGCCACGGTAGGCAGAGGACGCCAGATTCCCGCCCGACCACTGTCTCCCCCTCCGAGCGGCCTGCTGCCGCTCTGGGGCGCCGCCTTCCGGGGCTCAGCCCGCGCCTTTCCGCCAGGCTAGGCCCACCTTCTCTCCGGCTTCGATAAAGCTTCCTCTTTGCCCCCTTGCCGGCGGCTCCTGTGCGAGAGCGCGCAGCCCGCCGACTATTTATACCCCTGTATACGTCACGCGTGCGTCACAGAGCCCCGCCCCCTCACTGGGACCTCAGCCGACCCAGCCAATAGGGAGCCGGAGAGGACAAAGGCCGGGATGGAATGAGCCAGAGAACCGACCTTCTCGTCTTTTGCCCCTCCTTCAAGGGGAACTGACATTTCGAAGGCCCGGCTGCTGCTCCAGATTTGGTCGCTGCTTTGATGAGCTGGCTGCAGCTCAGTCTGCAGAGCTTGCCTAACATTCATGAGGCTCTGGACTCAGTCCTCAGCACCTCAGAAGACAGGACCCGGAGGTGCTCGACTCTAAACTCAGCCCTCAGAAGTTGAGGCAGGAGGACATGATGAACTGCAGTCAGCCTGTCTTAAGGAACAAAACAATGGTGTGTAGGGAAAAGAAACTACATTTACAGTTGGAAATCTTGACATCACTGCCTCCTTTCCCTTGTATGGACCTTCTTGAGTCTTTGCAAAGAATAGGAATTAGGTACCCCCTAGGCTGTTCCTCTTGAGAAGCTTGCCTGTAGAGAGTAGCAGCTTTTTTTCCTCCTTAATTAGGAACAAGCCCCATCGCACACCCAAGCCAACCAGGACTTACTGGGCTCACCGTGATGCTCCTGGGTATTCTCTCTTGCACAAGATCCAAAGGGGGCTGCATCTGCTCTGAAGCAGCTTCCCACCCTGTTGTTCCCACTATCCTTTCCTCTTTCTGCATCTCCTAGCCCTAGCTTCTGCCACATTTTCTTGTAATGATCTAGACTCGTTTTCCTTTATGGACTGGAGTTTCCTGGAAAGTTCTGTGCTGAAGATTCTGCACTCATGGATTACAACTTCATGACTGGAGAAGTGTACTGCATGCAAATCAAAGGCCAAATGTATCTCAATCTGTCTTTAGTCGCCTTACTAGCTCTCTGTTGCCCTCTTCTATGTGACTTAACATCCTTCTGGGTGTAGGGTAAAATGTGGACTTATTAAAGCAGCCAAGGAGTTTCCCAAGAGATGTTAACCATCCCATCAGCATCTGAAACCGATGTAGATTCCACCAGTCTGTGGACTACTCACCTGATAGTTCCAGCAAAGTATCTGGCAAATCCATCGATTTGTAATTGCTCTCTGTGCTGTAACTATAAAAGTTCCTGTAACTGATTCTATGGTGGCATATGTAATTACAGGTAATCTGGACATAGTCACTCATATTTGGTTCCAAATAAACCTTCCTACTGTCATTGTGGCAAGAGCTGTTTTACTCCCACCCAAGTGAGCAAAACACAATGGCACAAATATGTCTTCATAGAGAAAAGGCCACATTTTCTGTTTGCCACTGTGATTTGCTTAAGAAGAAAATCAACTACAAAGATTTACACAGCATTTGTGTGTGTCTGTACATATGTGTGTGTGTGTGTACTTGTGTTAAAACTCAGGCTTTGTTGTTGAATTTTAGTGGGCAGAAATAGAAAAAGTGCGAACTAAGTAATGAATTGGTTTATAAATCTATGACAATATTCTATTCTCCTGTGGCATCTGAAAGCAGCAATTCTTTACCCAGAAAACTTATCTAGATGTGGTAAAATAAACCTGGGGGGGGGGGGTGCACAACGCACAGAGAGAGGCTTTCCCATCAGAAGAGAAGGGGAAGGTGGAGGCGGGGAGGACTTGTGTAAGGGGATATTGGGAGGAGAGGAAGGGCCGATATTGGGTGGTAAAGTGACTAAATAAATTTTAATTAAAAAATAAAGATACCTAACTTCATAAAGATAAGAACAGCCAGAAAAGTATATTACTTTGTCATCACAACTTCAAGTCTGCCAAATTATACAAATGTGTTTAGCATACACAAAATATCTCTTATCAAAGGCACAACCCAATACAAAATATATTTGACATTTACAAACTGGAAGAGCCCACTACAGAGCCTGTGGCACAGAGCACTTTAAAACTGGAAGTCTCAGTAGCAGAAATATGAACAACCTTAAAGTAATCTATAAATAATCTAATTGGAAAGTATGAGACTTTATGCAACCTGTGAGTATGGAGTAATAGCTTGAAAGTTTTTGAACTAAAAATTCAAACAAAAACTAAAGCAAAACCTTAATGGCTCAGAAGGTTCTGTGATCCTGACAGAAGCAAGAAGAGAATCCGGTGGTGGCAGCCATAGGTTTAACATTGATGATAGTCCTCCTTAGTTACCAGGCTTCCAGTAGTTTTCAGATTCCCCCTGAGCTGCTCGGATGTACTCGGCCACAGAACACAGGGTTATCATCTTCTGTGTCTTATAATATCTTAACTCCATACACAATCCATACCAGGAAGTCAGTGTGAATACTTCAGCAATAGTCTAATCGAAAGTGGCTGGCACAGGGCTAAGGGACAGATGACAGTGCAGACAGTGGTAGCAAGGAGAAACTTCAGTCAAGGATATCAGTTTCTCAAAACAAAATTAAATGTGTAGGGCTTGCGGAACCCAGGCCTCCTGTGTCAGGACTCCACCACTAAAGGACAGACACACCACCCTTCAACAACAAAGCAGGACACCCCGTCCTTTCATAAGAAATTAAAGAAGATACAGTGTGACAATATTCTAGCTGATTTGTTCCTGTTTCACATCCTAAGTATTAAAATGCTGATACCACACAGGCTTGTGGTTCAGATAGTAGGATATGCAAATGAATTACACTCTAAATGAAAGTTCAGTGAAAATGTAGAAACCTAAAGATGACAGCCAAATCATGGCAAGGATTCATAAAAGTGACCGAGGTGTTTATTCAAAACCACAGCTGTGTAGTACTGAGCACAAAGCACATCCAATCACCAGTAAATCCCAGCAATGAAGGAGTAAACCGTAACAGTGAATTCTCTTTAACAGTCAACAACCTGAGGTGAGAGGGAGTGGTGAAATTCTGGCAACACACAGCCCTGCAGATAATTTGGCACCAAAAAAGTATCAGGAACAAACCACACTCATGGAACTACAGCCTTCGTGAGATGGATGTTAGGGTGATGACTCTCACCCTTCCTAACACGGTGGCCCTTTAATACAGTTCATGCTACGCTGACACCCAACCAAAAAATTATCCCGTTGCTACTTTATAACTGTAATTTTGCTACTGTAATGAATAGTAATGTAAATCTGATATGCAGGATGTGTCCCCAGTGAAAGGGTCACTCAACCCAACCCTAAAGAGGTCGTGACCCACAGGTTGAGAACCGCTGTGCTAAAGGGTTAAATGGTGATCAGCGGTAATCTTCATAGCAGAACTCATAGAATGTAGGTGCTGGTCAGCCGACCGGGGGTTTGGTTCTCCAATGGGACTGGTGGCAGGGACGTGCTTGCAGACTTATCTTCTCTGCTCCTGTTTTGTTGCTTCCATTTTGAGAACTTTTGCAGACAGCCTAGGGATGAATGTGTGTAGGAGTGTATGTGTGTGTATGTATGGGGTCAGGCTCAGGTCTTCCTCAGTCGCTCTACCTTATTGTCTTGAGGCAGGGTCCTCACAAAACCTGCAGCTCAGTATTTCAGCAAGACTAGCTTGCCAGTGAACTCAGGGTGAGGAAGAGCTCAATGGATCCTCCTGCCTCTGCATCCCAAGCACTAGGAGTGCACCTATGCTGGAGCATGCCTAGCTACTTTTGTTTTTATATGGGTACTGGGAACAAGAACATGGGGCTATGCATGTATGGCAAGCCCTTTACTGACCTCCCAGCCCCTGGGGATGATGTCCCCAGTGAAAGTATTTTTGACGACAAAACTTGAGCTGCATAGCATTTGATCTCTATACGTTAAGCATGGAGTTCTGGGTTATTTACATGTTTTATATAAAAATAGTATTCAGTTCATGGTCCTGAGGTCTGCCCCATGAAATGTGAGCAACTGGAGAATGCCAACTGTCATTGCTGGACCTGAGTCTCAATGCACATGGTAAAGGATGAGAATTCTTTTTCAGAGATCCTGCTTGCCTCTGCTTTCTGTGTGCTAGGACTAAAGGCACATGCCACTATGTCCAGCCAAGAATGTTTGTACCATAACTGTTATAAGAACATTTCCAGTAGAAAGAAGAATACTAGAAAAGTCTTTAATTTTTATCTAAACACAGAGACATGCTATGTGTAGTACTGTTTCCAACTTTGGGGTACGGCTCTCACCAAGCCCACTCTGATCTGTGCTTCATGTAGGCACTCCTACAAGATCACAGGGTGAATATTTAGTTTGATTTTATTTAAAAATAATAAATCACAAAACTAAAATGTTTGAACAAGGTCACTTAACCCTCACCCAGGTTGGTTACTGTTACGTTATGGACATCTTTATTACTCTGTAGCTACATGTTTAAAAGAGGAATCTTTAGTATGTCAGCGACATCAGGAAACCCATCCCTGGCACAGGTGGTCTCCAGAAGAAAAGCTGATCTTCAAGAGAGCTTTCTCCTCTGCTTTCATAGTGCTGACCCTGGGTAGAGGGGACAGAGGGGCCACTCAGAGTTTATCACTGAGGGACCAGTTCCCTTAGGGAGGCCAGAGCAGCGTGGATGCGGACATGCAATCTGTTTTCAAAGTCGTAGCCAGAAAAATCCTCCTGCAAGGACCAGATAAAGATGATTGTAGACTGTTAGCTATGCTTGGCCCCAGGGTACCACAGGATCACACATAGTACATTTTATACCCATAGAATAATTCCATATCTCCTACAGGGACTTCACATCCAGTTGATATTCTTCCTCCCCAACACTCAGGCAGGGTATTTAAAACTGTAATCCCACCTCTTGAGAGGATAAGGTAGGATTACAAATTCTGTTTGGAAAAATTCCCTCACTTTATTCTTGAAATAGTAGTTTTAAATTGAGCTCAAAGCAAGTTACTGTTGGAAAATCCTTTAAAACCATACGAGAGGCTGGAGAGACAGCTCAGCAGTTAGAAACAATGTTTTCTCTTCCAGAGGACCTAGGTTCGATTCCTAGAACCCATAAAGCCCCTTACAGCCATCCTTAACTACAGCTCCAGGCATCTGACACCTTCTTCTGGCCTTTGAGGGCCCCAGGCATGCATGTGGCACACATCCTGGAGACACCTTTTCAAAAACATGTACTCACTGACCTGCTTAGACAACTCCTCTCTCCAGAATTATAAACACACAGAACAATACCTGCAAATGGTCCTAAATTCAGCCCCAGGTTTACACTGAATAGGGTGAAGACAGCCATGAGGAGGTTGGGGGTCTTACCTTTGCCTGAAGGAGTAGAGTTCTGCCTCTTGCTACAGTCTGTGAACATAAGAAGAACATAGTGTCTTACCAGCAATGTCTGCGTGTCTATCCGTGGAAGACTACTACCTGAGGAATAAACATTCCCTTATGATAACAATGTAAAGCTTCAAGCTCCAATCCAAATGTCTGATAGTTATAGTTCTTTCCTTGAGAATTTGAGTCGTTCTCAGGCCCTAGTGAAACCTGATTATAACTAAAAAATTCCAATGTCCATTGTGCTAACTTACATGTCTTTGTGTGTGTGCATGTGTGTGTGCATTTGAGGGGATTCTCTGTACAGCATATAGAGGTCAGAGGATACCATGGGGTATCCTCGGGTGTCTGTCCATCCATTGTTTGAGACAGTTTCTCTCAGTGGCCAGTTTCTAGGGAGCCTCTGGGCTCTGCCTGCCCTCTCTTGGTATCGCGGCTATGGATGTGTGTCACCACATCTGGTGTCTGCACGACTCTAGGGATTCCAACTCAGGTCCTCCCATGTGGGAGGCAGGTTGTCCACTACCTATCATCTCCCCAGCACTGTAAATATATATGGAGCTGTCAAAATACATGTCTGGTGGTGTGATAATTTTCACGCGTCATCTTTATTTAGCCTCACTACAATTCTCATTAAATCGGCAAGCTACATTTACTTATCCCACTGTGTAGACTAGGAAGTAGGTCTGGCTCTGGTGACTTGACTGGTGACACACATTAAAATCCATGACACACAGCACAGCTCTCATCTCAATCCACTACACCCCACCATCATCTTAACCCACTACTACACCCCACCACACCATTCTGAAAAGACAATGACTTTCCCTCCACAAGGAAGCTTTGTATGGAAAGTCACATATGTAATTAAGATTTCAATGTGGCCACTGTTGTCTCTTTAAAAAGTGGTGTCAGCATCCTGGGCTCACCCAGGAGACCAAGACCAGCAAAAGTACCAAGAGACTATTTAGGTGAAGGGTGTTTTGTGTTGTCCTCTGTACAATCCGGCTGCTGAAGACTACCAAACACATGAAGAACTCTTACCTCTGCTCTGTCTAGTAGGAGACAGCCAAGCTCGTAGCATGCATATGGCTGGACATATGAGTTATTCTGACGACACAGTTCATCTTTAGCAGCTCGCTGGAAGAACTGAGAGTCACAGAAGAGTCACTTGTGAAGAGTTCATCTGCTACTTGGAGTGAGGCTCAGCACAGCCCTGAGGAGGATTTCTTTTTTTCTAGATCAAATCTTCTCTTCTCTACTGATCTTTATTCCTTCCCACTCGTAAATGTTTCCTAGTGCTGGGTTCATACGGCCAACGCCATGCAAGTACCCGATGTACTTTGAACACATTCCCCATGCCTTCCTTGCCCCCACCCCTTCCACCACCCAAGGACCCCCACCCCACTTCTGTGCCATGTCATCTAGACACAAATGAACTAGGACCCATGGGCAAGAGAAAGCCTGACGCCTGTCTGAGACTGACCTCATTCTCTCAATGTGACTGTCCCTGGTGCACCCCCATTCCTACAAATGGTATACATTCCTGCCCATCTCTATCCCATCTGCAGCTTAGAAGCCTTCCACAGCTGCTGGGGAGGTATTCCCAAATCACAAACATGCCGGCAACCTAACTTGTGCCAACACACCAACGTCTACTGGCCTGAAGAAACCCTTATCTGCTAAAGAAGTAGAAACATCCTCATTTTAAGATGTAAAACATTACACAGGCCAAAGTCCACCTCTTAACATACATCTTCCCACTACAATAGCTACTTAGAGTCATGTAATAACTAAGATAATTCACATTCAAAGATTAATTTCAAATTCAACACGAGTATATTAATAGTCTATAATTTAAAGACCAAGTCTCCTATATTATACATGAAACTATTTCAAGAGGTAGGCAATGTACTATCACCTATCTTAGGGTTTTATTTGGTAGGGTTTTTTTTCTAACTAACTGGCCTGGTGGTATATAGCTCAGTGGTAGAAAGCATATCTAACATTAGCCAAGCCCCGAGTTCAGTTCCTAGCACCAAAACAACAGTGAACAAAACCTTAAACAACAACAAAATAAAAAAACCAAACAAAAACAAACAAAAAAATCCTCCCTCCACTATAATGGGAAAACCTGATGCTTTCTTCCACACACACACACTGGCTGTTTGGGTATAAAATTAGCCCCAAAGGCTCATTGCTGAAGGCCTGGTCCAGCTCGGCACTAGTAAGGAGGGACTGGGTCATCAGGATGGTCCATGGATGGATCTGTCAGCTGATGAATTCACAGCCCAGTAGGACTTCAGGAGGAAATTGCTGACAGGAAGTGGGTGGCTGGGGCATATCTGTGGAGGGAACATCCTGTTCCTAGTTTATTTTCTGCTTCCTGAAGGAACTCTGCCATGCCTTCTCCTCCAGAATTCTCCACCGCACCACAGCCTGAAACTGAGCTAGACAAAAAAAAAAAAAAAAAAAAAAAAAAAAAAAAATGCAAAACAAAACCCTCCTTTTTAAGAAAGATGTTCTTCCATAGGGTAGAATGGCTCCCTAACTTGAAGGCCTAATGCAACAACTTTTCATCCTCTCCTCCAGCCCTGGACAGCCATCCGTAGTGATATAAAAGAAAGCTAACTTAGCGAATACAAGCCACCCTAACATGCCCATCCCCCGCACTCTGTCCCTGTCTGTGCGGGCTCACTGCACCATCCAAAGATCGGCCTGCTCATCTCCTCCTCTCTAGCTGACACTGCTGTCCTTGATGAGAAGCAGTCCTCACAGAAAGGAGCACGCTAAGACTCCGAGTTACATAGGAACATCACACTAACCACTATGTCCTCCCAGAACGTCGTTCACTGTACATGGTGCACAGAGTCCTATCACAGGGAGGGAGCTTCTCCTACTGCCTTCTCCTCTTCCACAAGCTCAGGTACCAGGATTCAGTTTTACCGTACAGCCATGGCACCATGTTTACCTGGACAGCATCTTGTGAGTTTCCTAGACATTTGTGTATGGCGCCAAGGAGCAGATGCTTCAATCCAACGACAGATGAATCGTCTACTTCATGGCAAGCTTGAAGAGAAGGGGTGTGACAGGAAGGGAAGACACCCACTTAGAACTCAATGTCACCAAAGTCAGCTGTTTCTCTGTTCAGTTCATACTTCTGCCCCCCAAATCCAGAAGCTGTCTCTTGCTCATCTGCTAGTGACTCACCTTAATCAAAGAAAGGCAAAAGTATCAACCTCTCTCTGTGTTCATGTTCACAGTGTGAGGATGCATGTGTGTGCAGGTGCACAAGTGTGCAGGAGCACCTGCGTGCAGGAGCACCTGCGTGCAGGTGCACCTGTGTGCAGGTGTACCTGTGTGCAGGTGTACCTGTGTGCAGGTG